GTTCACATACCCCAGATTGTGTGTGTGTGTGTGTGTGTGTGTGTGTGTGTGTGTGTGTGTGTGTGTGTGTGTGCCCATTCAAGAACACATGCATCTACTATACGTTACTCATGGTACTTATATTCTATGAAATCTCTGCATGCAAACATCAAGACAGCAAATACTAAAGCATTGCTCTTATGGGGAAATATGGGATTAGGTTCCTATCAGCCTCTGCTCCTCACATCATTGATAATCCATCATACATGACCTTATTTTAAAGGTTTAATGACTCAATTTAACAACTGTTAGTACAACATGTCAATCTCTGGCCCAATCAGGTATGCTAAAGAAAATAGTGTCACTTCAAAAGGGTGCTGAGTAGAGTGGCAATAATAACAATATTAACCAAAAAGCATCCCTTGAAAAGAAAGCATGTAAATGTTAAAAACAAGAGTCTGTTTAAGGCCTTTTTATTTAGTATATATTGTTAATGCACTGACTATGCAGCCGGCAGCACGAGAAACTGTAGCTAAATTAAGTTTATCTGACACAGTTCTCTTGGGATTTGGAACACTAGACAACAACAGGGCTGTGATTGGAGCCATTTTAAATATTTTTTTTAATCAAAGAAAAATCTAGAAACTGTAATGCTAGCTACTCAGAGGGCTGTGATCAGAGGATCCTGATTCAAAGTCAACTTGGGCAGGAAAATTCTTGAGATTTATTTTTTTAAATCTCCACTTAATCACCAGTAAACCAGAACTAGAGTTTTGGTTCAACTAGTAGAATATTAGCCTTGAGCACAAAAGCTCAGGGACAACACCTAGGCCCTGAATTTAAGCCCTAAGACTGGCACAAAAATAAATAAATGAATATCACCAAAAAGCATAGAAACTTGAAAAACATGGAACTATATAAACTGTGTATATTGTATAAAGGACACTTACGTGCATATAAGACCTAAAACAGGAAGACAAAACATCAACTTATTCAGCTGAGAACATGTACAACAGTCAACTCAAATTTGTTATTATCCCACACATTTGTGTAAATGACTGTGAAAGCAATGGGGTATTGATTTGGGGGTAAGAAATAAATTTTCACAAGTAGACAACTTAACAAGTACAGAGAAGCTTCACATCATGAGGGAGTCTATATACACATGTATACCTACAAATTAGTGTCCTGTCTTTGTCATCACATTTATTGCAATGCAATCAAATCTTTTTGATACCTGCTATTTTCTACAGTAGTCTATGGTAGATATGTGAAGGGTGCAAAGAAGATAATTCCTAATTCATAAGATTTCCCTTGAATTCATAACATACTAGGGAGTCAGAGTGTTGGTGTATAAAAATGATATGACTAAGCCAACAGGAAGCCAGTATTAACTGAGTGATAGAATATAAATTATGCAAATTTTTGTAGATTCTACTGCTATTATTTCACAAAATATTTTTCATAGACTGGGGAGGGGATTAGTTTAGATCTGCAGTATTCAATTGTGATAGCTACTAGTCACAAGTGACTATTGAAAATAAAGTTAGATTAAAATTTAGTTCTTAGCCACAGTAGCCACCTTCCCAGTGATTAACAGTTACACATAATTCATGATTAGTGCATTGGGAAGTAAGGATGTGGGCTATTTCTATCAGTACAAAACATTCCAAGACAGTGATCATTTAAAGCCTTTAATTTATAATCCTATGAGGAAAATAAAACTACAAATGTTCGCCCTCATCTCCTATTTGTAATTATAAAACTATAAATTATATGGTCTATTTTAGGTTTGGCACTTACATGACTTGAAGGAGAGTTAATAGCTTTTTTTTTTTTTTTTGCACATAAGCAATATTGGATAGTACAATCAAACCCCATGAACTTTCCACAAGATCCTCAGATAACAGTGGTATGTCTGTGATAAATAAACAATGATCTCCTGACACTGTGTACGCAGTGAGGGTTCATTACACATCAAAAACAAGTGATTGCATTTTTCCAATGGTTCCTCTGTGTGCTTGATTTATTAGTTATAATAAATTAGTGGGTTGATCAACTTGATCATGATTTCATCAGTTACTTATTGTATAAAATTTATAACACAAGAATCAAGAATTTGGGTTTGAACTGAGCATCTGTTTACTTTTCTGCAGGGGATCAGTGCCCCAGAAATTTCAAAGGTCATTCCTATGCACCCAGGGACCCCAGAAGCCTTACATGGTTTCTCGATATAGGATTTTGCCCACTTATTATAGACCAGGGGCATTTAGGCATACGGCAACCACTTTGCCAGTGAGCAAGGAGGAGGAGGAGCGCAGAATCTCCAGCAATCCTGAGTTTCCAGGCTTTAACCAGGAGATCAGGCACAAGTGGTTATTTCCTGTCTAGGAGAGATAAAAGGGAATCAAAACAACTCTAAAAGTAGTCCCAAAAGTCTAGTGGAACTCTGTCTTGCACTTGAACCTGAAGCTTCTAAATTTAGAAGATTAAGAACTTGTCTTTCTTTTCTTTTTTTTTTTAAATGTGAAAATACTGTACAGAGGGGTTACAATTACATGGGCAAGAAAATGAGTACATTTCTTATCAAGCATTATAGCCTCCTCCTTTGCTTCCCCTTCCCATCCTATCCTCCCCCTACCCCCCCCACCCAACCCTCCTCCCCCCCCTACCAAAATTGTAAAGTTAGTTTTTGACATAACAACTTGTACATCTCATTGTTGCAATGGGTCCACTTGTATCCCTATTTAAACCATTTGTTTTTTCCTTTCCCTTCCACAAATTATAACAACATCAAATACAATGAAAGCAGGGGTTATACCGTGGGGGAAGGATATACAAAGCAACAAAGAAATAATCTTATCAATGTGTTAGAAACAATTGCATGAAAGGAAAAAATATTTGAATACATATCTTAGGGTTCATTTCCCTAACATCAACTTATCTGACCTTTTCTGCTTGACTCAGACATATACTAGTTATTGCAAATAAGGGAAACCATGGGACCTATGTTTCTTTGGGCCTGGCTTACTTCACTTAATTTCAAGTAGAGTTATGATAATTTCTCCCAGTCTTTTACCCAACTGTGGCATGGTCACTTAAAGATGAAAAGACTTGCATGTTGATTTCTCAAGTTTATTATTCCAACACAGATACCAACCTGCAGACTAAATGTGTCCTTAAGTATTTATATTAGTTGTCAGTCTTAACTGAACACCACATTAGGCTGTTTCAATACATAGGTAACTTTTTATTCTATTACCATTAATAGCATAAAGGCAATAGACAAGTAGCTAACGAGTAGGCAGAAAAGTACATCTGGTCAGCCTGGCAGGATGAAAGTAATAGTAGTTTGGCTTTGGCTTAGAGGAGATCTATGGTTCATGCCCTAGGATATAACATACATCTTTTTTAAAAGAAATTTAATTCACGCTTAACTTCAAATTTTACATCCAGAAATCACTTGAGGAAAAGGGAGGAGAATAGAGTTCTTGCTCTTTCTCCATTTCCTTCCACCATGATGTGAGCTACTCAGCTGCGTACCACACGCTACCTGCCACAGTGGACTGACACTTCATACCACACGCTGCCTGCCACAATGGACTGACACTGCAGAAAATGTGAGCCAAAAGAAGTAAATCTTCCCTCCTCTGTAAAAAAAAACAAAAAAGGAAAGAAGAGAAATGTTCTCATCTGCTACCCATAAAGATAATCTGACACATGGAGAAGCTGATTTTCTTCCTAAGATTTATCATCCAAGATATACTGCCAACTTCTAATAGGTTTAATTTTAGAAAGAACTATTATAGGTTCTATGTGTGATTAAATTAAAATACCTTAAATTAAGAACCCAAGCAACCTGCCTCAACTAGTACTCGGAGTTCAACATATTGCTCTCCTAACACATTCTTCCAAAGAAATGACAATAAGAATTTTGAACTAAATGCCAATTTTAAACTTTCTAAATATGTTTTTTAATTGTTATAAAAGTTGTCTTTGTGTATAATTGACACTGTGTCCAGTAACTAAACCCAACTATATAGTTGCCCAGCCTCCCCTAGGACAGGAAACGTAATTTTCATTCTGAAATGTAAGATAACTGATTGAATAGGCAAGTTTGAAATACAATAGTAGAGACATTTTCACTTTACTGGACTCCAAAGAGCAATTCCATTTTCCATATATTATTATATTTTTGTGATTAAAAAAAACTAGAGTAGACTTGGATCCATATTTTCACTGATAAGACATCCCGATTGCTCATATAGCCCATATGTGAATTGCAGATGGATAGGGTTCAAAGGAAGAAAAGTACATGAGTATATGTATGTGTGTGTGCACACGTCATGCACATATGCTGTTTAGCAACTGGCCTTTAGATATTTAGCACTGGGTTTGCAGTTTCCTAGGACTCTTCTTCAGCCTGTGAGCCTACAGTAACTATCAAGGGAAGAAGAGTAACTTGATGGACACCTGTTTGTTCTTCCACACGTTTCCAGAAACTGTATGTTTCCACAGAATCTATTTACCTCAAATTCAAGATGCTCTGTATGGATAGTTACAGTATAAAACACCATGGTCACAAAGGAGACATGTGAGGATCACATTACAAAGGTATTTACCATATATCCCTCAAATAACTAATACTCTATGTAGAGTATTTACCTAGCACACATACTTACAACACAGCCTGCTTCCATTCCCTCCAATTTATGACAAAGTTACTTTTAGTAAAAATATATCAAAGTGAAAGAAAAAATAGTAAAAGTTAAATACAGGCAGCTAAACTCTTTTGCTATTGAACTTTGTGAATGTAAACATGCCAGGTATACAAGCATTTTTAAGAAGTGATTTCTTTTTCTTTTTCCTTTCTTTTTAATTTTTGGTGTCAGTCTTGGGAATTGAACTCAGAACCTTGGCACTGTCTCTGAGCTTTTTTTTTTTTTTTTTTTTTGCTCAAGGTTGTACCCCTTGAGCCACAGCTCCACTTCTAGCTTTTTGGAGGTTAATCGGATATAAAAGTGTCACAGACTTTCCTGATTAGGCTGTTTTCAAACCATAATTATCAGACCTCTTCCTCCTGAGTAGCTAGGATTATAGGCATAAGTCACCAGCAACTAGCCAGAAGTGATTTTTGTAATAAAGCCAAAACATCTACAAGAGTTGGAAATTCAGGCAACCACAAAATCGTACGACTGATTTAATGTTTCCTTTTGTGGATGGTTTTCCTAACAATTGAAATTTGTATTTTAAAGATCAATTTGTATTTTAAAGATCAGGTAAATTTTTTAAAAATTGTATCATGAAGGAATCAGATTTGTGCTAGCCAAATAAAAGTACTGTATTCTATAGCTAGCACTGTTTACCATTTTAAATCTAAACACCAAAGTAGGCATTTAAAATTTGAATGGACATAAATCAAATTCTTTTCTTCATCTTTGTAATATCTATATTCTTCTTGCTTATTTCAAACCTACTATCCTAGAGACTGGAGGATGCACTTCATTAGATGTGAGCTTGAGCTCCAAGCTATTCTGAACTAGTCCAGAAACCAAGAATGCATAGCTAATTCCAAAAATGCTGGAGATGACTAGATACTTGGGGATTTTCCTAATTAACTTTCATGCAACGTTCAATGTTTATTAAGTGGCAAGTATAAATATACATAAATATGTAGCCAGCACATGTGTAACTGGAATTGAGTAGTGATCATAACAATTGTTTGGAGCTTAAACCAACAACAGATTTTCTTCAAAGAGCGTTTCATCACAGACGTGGTTTAGAATTGCTATCACCTGGTAATGATAAACAGTTGACTTGTAGTCAGATTTATTTCCGCTTTTGAATGCTCTAGGGACAATGCATCTCCGTGTTGCTCCCCAGGGATCCACCCCTTCGAGCACACACCCTCCTTCCCTCTCCAAGTTCTTTTTTTTTCCCCTCTCCAATTTCTACTAATGGATCTAATATGAACATAGAAACTCAATTTGCACCCAAGTTAAGAAGAGTACTGGAATAGATTCCAATCTTAGCATCTGCTGGATTTTTGACAGTTCCATTTAAAGACATAACTGGCTTAAAGGATCATAGTTGGCACATTTTCCACTTCAAAAAGTAGCATGCTTCCCTTATATGTAGAAGCTAGATTCAGCTTATGAATGTATAAGTAAATACATAGGGTGGTATGCAACTGTATACAAATATGTTAACTGACATGGTAGATTCAAAGGAGAACTCAAATAAATAATGTAATTCCTTAGAAAGGCAAAGGCAAAGTTCAACAAAATTAACACCCAGTTGACAGTTGACAGGGGTAGGGTGGGGTTAGGCCAAAGGTGGAGCCACACGAAGAGGAGAATGCTGTCAAGAATTCAGTGTAGAGACTGGGAATATGGCTTAGCAGTAGAGTGCTTGTCTAGCATGCACGAAGCCCTGGGTTCAATTCCTCAATACCACATAAGCAGAAAAATCCAAAAGTGGTACTGTGGCTCAAGTGGTAGAACGCTAGCCTTGAGCACAGACAGGCTCAAGGACAGTGCCCAGGCCCTGAGTTCAAGCTTCAAGACTAGCAAAAAAAAAAAAAAAAAAGTGTAAATCCTACAAAATTAAGAAGAATGAGGAAAGGGTTGGAAAGGGAAGAAGGTGAGAACGTTGAAAGGCATGACATTATTTAAGATGCACTGTATTCGTAAACTGCGGTGTTAAATTGCAACCCCTTTGTACAACTACTTCAAGATGAGGGGGAAAAAAAGAAAAGTTTATATTAATTTGACATTTAACTTATTTTTCCATAACTTCTGATCCTCCATTGATTCCAGAATTTCTCTGATGACTTTTGGAACCCATTTCTATGTTTAGCATGCTCCACATTAAGAGGTGAGCAGTACTCCATCTTCAATATCTGTAATTTACTATTTGAACTTCTATTTACTTCAAACGTTGTCCTTTCAAGCATTAGAGGCTAGATCTTGGGTTCTAGATTCTAATTTTTGGTTAGGAAACTTTGGTCCCATTCAAGAATGTCTTCAGAACACTTCAAGGATACTATCCGTTGTTGTTGTTGTGCATTTCTTTGCCCTGCCCCTCATCGTAGTCTTGCTTATTAGATATAAATCTGATTTTACCAAGGAGACAATAAGCCACAAGCTCTACCTAAAGCCTTATTTGCAAATAATAAGCCAACATACTCCATAGCTGAGAAACTGTGCTGCTATGCACCAAGAGTCAAGAATCACGAGTCTGTCTTGGCCTTTGGCACCCAAGATGACCGCACCGCAGTTGAGCCATCCCTGGGAACACAAACACACCTGTGCTTCCTATGTATGCACACCTGCCGAGTAATGAATACATTTGATCCCACAAGGACTTCCCTTACAAACCATTTCACTGTCACTGTTAACCTGTTAAATCCCTCTGTGATAGAGGTGCGTGCATCCCACACATACCTGTGGCGGGGATAAACAGGGGTCATGCTGGCACGAGCTCCCTTAACTTTCAAGAGCTGATGCTGAAGGTTGCAACGCTTCCTGACTTGTGTCCAATAATAATGTCACACCGGTGGTTTAACATCAGCATGGTAATCGGGTTTGCCTTATAGAAAATGGCAAAGGCCACAACTCAGAGCTTCCTGGACATTTCCGAGGATACCATTGGAGATCTACATCTGGCTCCACTTCACACAGGAAACTTCGACCACACTCTTGCCTCACCTGGCTTGAGTGTTGGTGAAAACTACAAGAATGCATATGTATGGGGACTTAGTCTATATTCTCTGTCCACAAAGTAGGCATAAAGACTGAAATGATGGCAAAGTGCTAGAATGTATAAACATTTACTTTTGTCTAGTGTCTAGTAGAAAGAAAGAAAGTAATGTCCTTGGAGCCGTGAATCTGCTCATTCAGAGACCCGGCAGGTACACTTCTGAGAAAAACTCAGTGACAGCTCTGGGGAGAAGGAAGGGACATGACAAGGAAGGGAGACACATCAAGGGACTAACAGAGGAGACTGAGCCATTCCTTCCACTGAGCCTGCAGGGCAAAAAGCAGGGAGATGCTCTTCATGGAGCTCACTGCCAAGAACTCTAGACAGAGTGGAAAACTTCCAGAAATGTGGCAAATCATGCAGGAACAGTGGTCTGTAAATACCTAGGCATCTTTCTCTCCATACGTTGCCACTCTATGGACCAAACCAACCAGAAAGCTCAGAAGCCCAGAGCTTAGGTGCTCCAGTTCACTGAGCTTAGCTCTCAGGAGGCAGAGCTGGACCCAGCCTGGACAAACACAGATCTGGGCACTAGAGGCCAACAACAACTCATCCAGATTTGTGCATTTTCCTTTCCCGTCAGTCTGCATCCCTTCCACCTCCACAGATCCTCAAGAATGAGGATGAAATTGAACCATTTATGTCTTCACATGTTTTGAAAAAAAGATTCTGATGGAAAGGAAGGCCATGAGAGAGAAAGACAGGACTTTGGAATAGATTCACCTGCTATGACTAATTTCAAGCAGAAGTGAAATCCAGGTTTTGAGGGTTTGTTTTTTTTTGTATTTTACATAGAAGATCCATATATATTTGAAAACGGACTAAATGAATAGTATGACTGTACTCTAGACTTAGTCTTTAACAGGCAAAATGAGCCTAAATCATAGCTGTGTTATTCCAAAATGATGAGAATCTGACAAATGAAATCAGGCTGTTCTGAATTACTTCCCTTGAATGAGTTAAGGATTCTGTAGATCTGCATCTCCTGAAGAAGAAAAACTGTCTCCACTTTTATTCCATAGGCACAAAAATGAAGATGATATACTCAAACATCATCATAGCCTTAAACTCATAAAATAGAACACCAACTCTGGCCTGCAGGATCACATAGCATGACAAGTAGTGTCTCCGCTCATGCCGTTGTTTAGTGTGTGAGTCCTCTGGCTCTATCACATCTGCATGAGGCCTTCCCCAGAGCCAATCAGAAGCCAGAGCCATATGATTTAAGAGGAGTAACAGAAATACAGCTGTTTTCTCTCCATGTCTCACGCCATCTTCCCTGGGTTTCTATCTCCAATTCTTGTAAGGTACCCTGTCATATTAGATCAGGGCACCAACCCTCCTGACTTTATTTTAATTAATGGCCTCCTTAAAGAACTTGTCTCCAAAGTTCTATTGTCTTTCCGAGGTACTTATGGTTCAAGCCTTAACAGATGACTTTTTTTTTTTTACAGAAATGTGTAGAAATATTTATTAGTAGTGACATATTTGGACCTGAACTATAAACACAAATACTGATCTGAAGTTATCAATATGGTAAATACTTTAGGGCAAAATATTATTTTTTTAAGGAGACTGAATACAACTATAGGGAAGTCCTGCTTCTGTTTTTTTTGTGTGTTTGTTGCATTTTTTTTAGTTTTGTTGTTGTTGTTTATAACAAATCTTCTCTCCTTTCTCCTCCAGTTCCTCCGTAAAAGCTTCAGGGCAAAGTGGCGCTGTGGCTCAAGTGGTAGAGCGCTCACCTTGAGCTGAAGAGCTCAGGGTCAGCACCCAGGCCCAGAGTGTAAGCCCCATGGTTGCTCATAAAGCCACATTTGAATCCATTTTGAAAATATCTGAAGATGAGGTTGATGGTCTGTACCATCACTTTGTGCTCCTTTTGGCCCTGGCCAAATCTTACTATGTATTTAGTTTCCATGCTGCAGGTTGACGTCTGAAATTTTGAGAGAAGAATCTCAGGTAAGGGTTTCAGCAGGACCAATGCATACCTAGGTGTGGCAAGGAACTAACAGATGACTTTTGTGAGCACACAAAATTCAGCTCCCAACCGTCAGTATCCGTCTTTTCTCCCTTGTCATGCATGCCTTGGTTTCCGCAGGAAGGGCATTCTTCACAGGTCTGCCCTGCCTTCACTTCCTTGAAGCGCATCAGCCCTGGCTCCTTTCTTTCAACCCAGGCCTTCTACTTTCTAGTATTGTTGCCACATCATCAGACAGATTATAGTGGGAAAAGACATGGGTCCTTTTAGCTTGTGAGAACAATAATCTCATGAGGAACAGGTGCTTTCTGGGGATGATAGGAATCCTGAGATATGAACTAGAATGGCAAGAATTCCAGGCATCATTAAAGCAGC